TCAAATAAATCATTCTTTGATTTGAATTTGATCAAATCAAATATTCAAATATCAAATCGAATTGCAGAACCCTAATACTAGCTAATTATAGCAATTATGACCAATTTAATTTTGCATTAAATTATCAAAAAATTTTTTGATATTTTCAACAACTTTATTTGAGAAAAAGGTGAATTCTGAGCTGTAATTTCATAATTTGTTAAAATTTCAATTTTACATTTTTTCATATATTTTTTATAAAATAGATTTTATTTTACTGTTTATTTATTTTTATTATGATTTTAATGTATCAAACGATTTTTCTGCTATTTTTTGATATTGTGCTTAATAACGAGAAATGCAACCTTAGATGGTTTGTAATCTTGGGATTTTTTCGTCTTCTAGTTCTCCTTTTTCACCTTTTCTTTTTAGATTTTCTAACATGATAGCAGCAGTATACCTTTTACTTTTATCAATATCTTCTTCTAAAAAATACTCTTCTAAAACTTTCCATACTTTTTTAGATATACATTTTCCACCACCTCTTTTATCATACTTTTGCTTGCTTTTTAATGCCTATTCAGACTCTAAGAGAAAATCATGAAACGAAATCCTATTTAAAGAGAGTTTTTGTTTATAAATTACTGCTATAATTTGCTTTTAAAAATAAGTTCATTTACCATATACTAATATTTTGATTTTCTTGTTTTTCAGCAATATCTAAAAACAAATAGCACAATTAGATGATTTATTTTATTATTTAAACAAATTTTCTTTTATCTTATATTATTTCTGAATCATTGATTAAGGTGAGTTCTAACATTTTAATTAATTCATCCCTTTTAGCAGTTTTAATTATGTTGATATTTCGTTTTGTTAATTCAAATAGTAATTCTTTGGTTAATCTTTTAGGATTAATATCTAGATTAAACGTGAGATATAATTGAATATACTATATATTATGTATATAAAAAAATATAATACTCCATCACCTGATGTATTTGGCATAGAAATTTTTCATTGATTGTTAGGAATTATGTGAGTTGATATTATAGGTTAGGAATTTCAATTTGTTTTTTTTTGCAAATTAGCTGGTGAAAAATTAATACATTTTCCAATATTAGGTATCTCTTTACTAAGAATGTAACCTTCTATTGGTTCTTTTCCTGGTTCTCCCAGTTAAGGCCATTCAAATAAATTAGAATTACCAGGAAGAGTATTCTTTGCTTTTTTTCTTTATCTGAAGTAAGTTAAAATTAGATAATATTCATTTATTATTTTTTTTTTGATTTTAAATATATCTTTTGATCAATTTGGTTCTAAATATGTGACAAATATCCCACGAATATATTTAATGGCAGTTTTAATATCAGCATCTTCTATTATATCAAATCCAAGACGCACTTGACGTTTGATTACATGAGTAACCTATTAATTAAACATTAGATTTTTTATAAAGTAAATATTATTTTTATTTAATACCTGAGCATGATGACTATCAATAGCTATTTTAGCTTCTCCTGCTTCTAAGAATATCCATTTTTTTACATTTATTTGATACCATTCTAACCAATGACTTAAAATTATCATTAGATCTGCATTATGATAATGTGAACCATTATCTGAAATATTGACATTCATTTTGGTTTATTTTTAATAATTCAATTACAACATGTAGTGAAAAAGCAGTAAACCAAGAATCCTGACGTGCATCTATTGACCAACATGAACATCAAGTTTTTGAGATCCCAGTCTTTTAGTATACATAAGAATTGTATGTAATATTCAGCCTTTTTTTTCAAAAAAATCTGCTTTAATTTCTCTAGCACTTTTTGGTAATATTTTCATTTTATAATCAACAACTAATATAGCATCTTTTTCATCTAAATCCATTAAATTGAGCATTCAAATAGATCTTACGAACCTGATGAGCAAGGTAATATAATAAGTGATTTTGATACTCATCAAAATCTTCATGCAAATCTGTAGAAAGTTGATCTTTCAGATGATTAAAAAAGGTAAATAATTCAGCACATTCTTGAGATGCATATGTATGATTTTTTGTACAAACTCCAAAAGTCCACAATAAGTAATAACTAATACAAGAATTGTGTTTTATTATTCCTTTATTATTAATAAATAGATTTTTTTCATAATCTCATTTTAAAAATCGTTGTAATTTTGTCAAATTATTAAGAAATTATTTCTAAAAGCAATAAAAGAATTTTAATATTAAAATAACTACATATAAAATTATAATTGTATCAAACTAGGAAACGGAAATTGTTGTGAGTCCAGAGTGATTATGTGTTAATTTAAACCTTATATACATTATATTTTTTAAATTATTATAATAAAAACAAATTATATAACAATTGTAATAATAATTGCAATAATAAATTAAACTTTGATTCGAATTAAAATTTATATTAACATTAATTAAGCATAATTTACATAATATATACCGATACTATTTTATTCTAAAATGTAATACTAAAAATAAATCCAGTAATTTAATATGCTGATAATCATATTGTACGATGTTTAATTGATAAAAATACAAGCCACTAATAGAATTTCTCTTTAGCACATAATGGATAATAAATTTACAAGCCGTAAAACTCTTCAAAAATGTAGAGCTAGAGAGAATGAAATACAAAATGAACATGAAATATGTCTTGCAAGGAACTGTGAATATAAGCAGCAAAAAAGAGAGAAAGAGAATGCTGAAGAAAATGAGACGCATCTTGTACATGACAGAGAATGAAAACGCGTGAAGTTAGCAATGGAAACAAATGAACAACGTGAAAAACATGTAAATGATTTTCAGGAACGAAGGACCTATTTGAATAACTTAAATCAAAATTTGAATTCACAACAGCGATGACCGCAGCAAAAAACTGGTCAAAGCAATTGTGGCGTAGATACACATGACAAGCCATCTCCTGCTAGTGAATTAAGTGAATTTGAACAAAATCTTTTAAAGAAATTTCGCGATAAAGTTGATAAATTCAAACATATTCTTTGCCTTATATGCAATGAAAGCTTCTCATCCATAATTCTTGTGAAAGGTGAATGCCGATGTTGTTATACTGAGAAGGCCTTTCTGAAAAAATTCTCAGCAAAGAACAATATGGATCCAGGTGAAGTTCCTGATGAACTTCGAGACCTTACAGAAATTGAGAAGATGTTGATTGCGCGAGTTTTTCCCATGATATCAGTTTACAGACTTCGCAGAAGACAACACAGATATCATGAAAACGTGATCAACTTTCCTCAAGATGTCCAGAAACTTACTACAAAATTCTCTCAACATCCATCAATGTTAGAGATGCTTGTTATACGTCATCACACAACTAACTCAAAAGCATTCAGGGATTTAGAGTTTGCCATACTAAGATGATTCATGCATTAAATTGGTTGAAGGAGAACAATCATTACTACGCTGATATAATTATTGATCATGAAGTTCTTCGATCCTTACCAGTTGATGGTTCAGTTGATGATCAGCTTTGAGATACTCAAATGAATGCTAAAGAATTGAATTGTGAAAATGAAGATGAAATGATTACACGCATCTTTGTTCCACTTCCTCCTTTGGCTCATCGCGAAGACGTTGTTATCAAAAATACCTTGGTCATATTCAGAATGGAGACCAACCTATTATATGGCTACAGATCAGTAACAATCTGGTTAATGAATTTCAGACACCAGAGTATATCGTATGTGTATTTCCAACTTTATATCTAACTGGAAGTGCAGATCTTTGAGCAACACATATTTGGAAAATTAATCCTGCTAAATACTTTAAGCACCTGCTTTTGTATAAGGATGGAAGATTTGTGCGTCATGCTTAATGGCGATACTTCGTATTAAATTATCAAATGCGATGGCGTGCATTACAAGAAGGTAAAATATATGTTATGCAGAACTTAACTGACGATCAGATCACTGCTACAGATATCCAAGAATGGATTTCTTCAGGAGACCATCACATTGCTGATAGGATTATTCAATATGGTGAAGAATTGCGTGGATCTCAGCAATTTTGTAATTCTCATCATTATGAACTTACTGACATGATTAAGTAAATAGAATCACAAGGCTTAGTCTTTTTTACATTTAGTGCAGCTGACTTACACTGGCCTGAGCTTCATAAGCTTATGCCATCTCATAAAAATTCTGAAAATTCGGCCAAATGCCATCACCAGAATATTATTGACAATTCTCATATGGCTGATTGGTTCTTCGTTAAGCGATTTGAAATCTTCTTTAATGACGTCCTGAAACAGCAGTGGAATTTAGAAGATTGGTGGTATCAGTTCAAATGGCAGATTGCGGTAGTGTTCATGTACATAGGATCGGAAAAAGAAAAAATGCACCTGATATAGAATGGAAGCAGATGAAAGAGGATGAAAGCATAATGAATGAAGTTGTTCAATACCTCAATAACCTTGTCACCACAATTAATCCAGGACTTGATATGCCTGTTCCTGAATGGCATCCATGCCAAAAGAAAAGCAACGAATTAAATGATGATCAGCAAGATTATATCGACTTGATAAATAAATTACAAAGACATACCCGATGTAGCCCTGTATATTGTCTTCGTATTAGCCAAGAAGGAAAATAGACCTGCAGATTTAAATACCCTAAAGAAATTAGTGAACAAACATTTGTGCGAGATGATGAACGTGAACAACCAGAG